CCCACACACACACACACCAACACACACCCACACACCCACACATGTGTAGAAACCAGAGGTTGAATTCAGAAATCTTCCTCATTCACACCCCACAAAGTTTTTTTTAAAGATTTGTTCTCTCTCCTCTCTCTCTCTCTCTCTCTCTCTCTCTCTCTCTCTCTCTCTCTCTCTCTCTCTCTCTCTCTCTCTCTCTCTCTCTCTCTCTCTCTCTCTCTCTCTCTCTCTCTCTCTCTCTCTGTGTGTGTGTGTGAGTATGTGTGTCTGTGTGTCTGTGTGTCTGTGTGTCTGTGTGTGTCTGTGTCTCTGTGTGTTTCTCTGTATGCTGTCTCTGAATGACCTGTATATACAGGGCTCCCGGAAGCCAGAAGAGGGCATTGGATTCCCTGGAGTTGTAGTTACACAAAGCTGTGAGCCTTGGATGTGGGCCCTGAAAACCAAACTCAGATCCTTTGGAAGAGCAGAAAGTGGTCTTAACCACTGAGCCATCCCTCCAGCCCACCCACTTTATTTCTTGAGGCAGGGTCTCTCCCTGAACCTGAAGCCCATGGATTCAGTTGGGTTTGCCGGCCAATGAACTTCTCCCAGCTTGGGCTACAGACATATGTGGCATGCCCACCTTACCTTTTCCTGTGAGTGCTGGGGGCCCTAACTCAAGCCCTCATGCTTTTGCAGCAACTGCTCTCTGCCTCAGGCCCCATATTGCTCTTTCTAAAACTTTAACTTTTACATATAATTATTATGTTTTATATCTTTTATATATAAATATTCGATTACTTGGTTGCAATCTAACAAAAATTCTAGAGAAAAAGATACAGAACTATTAACAGCAATGGGATAGAAAGTGAAGTAGTGTTTGGAGTAACTATAAGGGAACAAGAGAAAAGCTCTGTGAAGGTGGATACAGCCATGGACTGATGCTAACCCTAAACCAACCACAATAACTCAAATAGAGTAACAGCGCACAAATCAACCCCACAAGCATCCAACGTACCTCAGAGGTCATCCAGACCCCATTTTTGAAAAAAATGTTTATTCTGTGTGTATAGATGGACGTCTTGCCTACATGTATATACATGCATCACATGTCTGCCTGGTGCCCAGGTTAGTTAGTAGATAGCATTAGATCCCCCAGCACTGGGGTCGCATGAATGGGTGTGAGCCACCATGTGTTTGCTGGGAATGGAACCTGGGTCCTCTGGAAGAGCAGCCAGTGCTAAATGCTGAGTGCCATCTCTCCTCCTCTCCCAACACCCCACTGATGCATAAAATGCCTAAGCCAGCTGAGTTTTTTGTTGTTGTTGTTTTTTTTTTCCAACATGACACAAACTAGAGTCAGCTGAGAGAAGAGAACTCAGCTGGAAAATTACCTCCACCAGAATAATCTATGGGCATGTCTTTGGGGGCATTTTCATTCCTTTTATAAAAAAATGTCTTATGTCTATTTACCATTGTGTGCCTGGTGCCCTAGGAGGCCAGAAGAACATGTCAGACCCTCTAGAAGTGGAGTTACAGACAGTTGTGAGTAGCCATGTGGATGCCAGGAATTGAACCTGGGTCTCCTGGAAAAGCAATCAGTGTTTCTTAACTGTTAAGCTGTCTCTCCAACATTTTTTTAACTAATGATTGATATGAGAGGACCCAGACCACTGTAGGCAATGCTACCCCTACGCAGGTGGCCCTGGGTTGTATAAAAAGAAGCAAGCTGAGCAAGCCATGGAGAGCAAACCAGTTAACAGCAGTCCTACATGGTCATTGCTTCAATTCCTAACTCCACGTTCCTGCTTTGCCTTT